ATGGATAGATGGATAGATGGATAGGTAGACACATGGATAGGTGGACACTAAGACCGGTTGTTGCGTGTATCGTCGGGGGGAAGAACTCCGGTTCTACGTCCGCGCTGCTCTCAAGCCCGAGCCCCGGATCTCAATGCCGCACCTCCAAGAAGAAACCGATACATTTTTTCTAGAACCCGCTGGCCACCTCGGAGCTGCGGCGATGTCGTTCTCTTCCATGTAATCCCAGATCCTGCCGTCGCGGGAAGAGAAGAGGAGGCAGGAACCCGGAACCTTCCCGAGCCTCAGCCTGAGCCTCTCCGGCCTCCCACCAACCCCCGCCCCAGTGCGGCCTCTGCCGAATCTTCCACTTCCAGGCTCCTCGATCGCCCGTCTCGCCCCTGGCTTCGGCCTCCTCCACGGCCTTTCGAGTGAAGACTCTCAGCCGAGAGTACGAGCCAGTAGACCCGACAAGGAAAACGCTCATGGGTCCGAAAGATCATGATGCCGAACGGCCTCTCCGCCTGACCAGAAAGCTCGCAGACTGTCATCAACTGCTCCAAACCCTGAATCCCGCTGGGCACCTGCATGTGCGCCGCCATACCTCAGCTACAAGTCTTGATTCATTCCGGATCCGCACACTGAAGGCCACTGAAACCGAAAACATGCATGAGACGCGCGGCACTGGCAAATCCCAAGACTCTGTCAAAGAACATGTCAAAGCTACTCTAGAGATAGGAACTCTGCAACTCTCGGCCCAGATCCTCACAACCCGCCGTTTCGAAGCCGCAACCTTCACACGAAACCGCTGAACCCTTCAAAAGCAAAAATCACCCTCAGCCGGGCGGTCCCTGGAGCCCCTGCAGACAAAGTGGCGCTCCCGCGCCTCCTGGTCGAGGCGGAGCCGCTCCGTCTCGCTCTCAGGCATGGCGCGGCGCGGGGCGCAACGGCAAGGCTATGCGCTATGCGGCTTTAGCTCAGGTGGCAGGGGGGATCGGGCTTGGGGCTTGGCTTGGGAGGCCTGGCCAGGGCACCAAGGCGATCCTTAGGCACAGTCTCAGGCTTAAAGACTGAAGCCCTGCCAGCCAGAGTTCACGACTTCAATCTGGACTTTGAGGGCTTCTGTATTGGGCTGCAAGATCGTCAGGCCCATGATGGCCCATGGGAGCTTCGTCGTTGTGGATGCTTCGTGGAGCCGAAAGCAGCACTTCAAGCAGCTCCCAACCCCTCAGCCAACGGACTTTCTTCGCTATAAACCAGAAAGATGTATGCTAGACTCCGAAACCTGGACGTTCCAGGATGCTAGAGATATCAATCCTGATAGCAACATGCCCAACAAACTTGAGGTCTAAACCTGCAAGCTTTGAGAAAAAGAAAAAGGGTGACCGTCTTCTTGTCTTGAAATCCGCCCACTGATCGAAATCTAAAGATTCAGACTCACGAACAATGCAGCATGTTTGATCAGCAGTCGTTCTTTGTCGTCTCTAACATACGTGCAAGCGACAGGCTACATACATTGCCCGACATGCACTGTATTGCTTATTACTGTCCACTGCCCCGCATAGATTTGCAATATGATATACTGCACTTGAGCGAATGCTGCGCTTTTCTATGGAATTGGCTTGTTTTGCGATGCATGCATGGCACTCTTAAACGAAGAAAGCCTCTGACCTCTAGGCCCCTAGTGTGTGCCCAGTCGTCTCAAAGTCGCTGCAGCTCTTTTGATTTACTCCATGCGGGGTGGTTGCCCAAGGGCTGCTTCGAGATGGAGGTCTCGTGCCTCACATAAACACATTTAGCCTAAGAGCTGGCCGGCTTCCGTCGCCCGGAGCGCCCGGAGACGTTGACTGCAAAGGGGCTGCACAAAGCTCTGAACCTCAAAAGGTAAAGAAAAGGCCACTGCCACACAGCTCACGAAGACAATGGAAACAGATACTCTAGCAATCTTCGTGTCGCCCAACAGCTTTTGACTGCTTCTCCCTAAGCCCGTGTTGGAGTTCCTGCGTGCCAAGTAAGGCTTGAAACCCACACAGTCTATTCTTAGGGTGGGTAGGCAAAAGTTCCTGCGCGGAAGGGCACGTAGGGGAACTCTTTACCCACTTCACTTCGACCTGACCTCTCCGTGCGAAGATCACTCGTCTGGAATTTGCCTGCAAAACCCGGCACTCGGACTCGACTCCAAGTTTTGGCCCGAAGAGAGCTTCCTTATGTTCCTTTGCCTGCGCCTGTTTTTGGGGGGAATGCTCGGGCACCGAGCTGCTCACCGGACAAGCTCCTTGGCTCTTGGCTCTAGGCTCTGCGGCGTGCTGTCACGCACAGTGCCCGATGGCTGCTGACATTGCGAGGCTGATGGCTTGTGCTGTAGGCTATGCTCCGAAGCCCCAGACTCCTAGACCCCAGAGCTGAAGGCGGACACCTCAGATGCCTCGATACCTGCTGGCGAATGCGCATGCCCAGTTCCGTAAAGTGCCGCCCCCATGCTGTGCAGCGCGAACCTTCCCCGACTAGACACCTGTGTTTTCGGTGATTGAAACCCGATCTAGTCTTGCTTGGACTCGAGCATCTCCACGACACTGAGCTCCAGATCATCGCCCATTCCGCATCCAATCGCAAGTGCAGCATCCCATCTTGAAAACACAGCGCCGAACGTAGATCGGGCGCAGGCGAGCGATTGCAGATATCACTGCGGCGCTGGACCCAGTTCGCAAGCGTTTTCGGTGGTGTCTTGGTGGGACCTGGTGCATTGCGGTGTGGAGACCCCGATCAGTTGTAAACCTAAGGTGCCGAAGAACAACTCTTGCAATAGCCCGCTTGAAACAAGCGCCGGGATAATGCATTCCTGACGCTGGCCGGCCAGCATGCACCACCCCTGGTTGCCATGAAAGCCTTGGGTTGACCCTTATGTCGGGGCGGCAGTCTCGCCATGAAGAAAAACGGCCGCATCGGAGGATGCTATCCATATGCCGATGTTACGATGTTCTTGTCGAGACTGTCGCAGCTTGCCCAAAACTTGTATCGGTGCGGATCCTCCTGAGTCCTGAGGTGTCCCATTGCGACTGTCCTCAGATTTCTGACGGAAAAGCCTCGGCACGAACGCGCACTCCGCCGAAACGCCGGGAGCAAGGAGAGCTCCAAGCAACCTGTCAGAGATGCCTTTCATATCGACCTCTACTGTCCGTTATGTTGCAGTTGCATAGCTTCCAGACCTAAGGCAGCGGGGGGGTGTTTTGCCTTCAAGGCCTCGTGATTTCACGGCTGACAACGAGTTCGGATTTGGGGGGGAGTCTGCAGAAAGGGCTGCTCCAAGAACACCCGGCTTGCGGAGTCGCGACGCACCGCAGGCCATTAAGCCACAGCTGCTCTCGAGGCAGACAGCTCCCGCCACCCACGCGGCACGAAGTCAGAGCAGGATGTTCAGGGACTCGGGAACGGGGTCTTTCTACGAGTGACTAGTGGACAATCATCGTTATTCCGATCATGAAGACTCGTCAAGAAGTTGCATGCCCCAAACTTCTGGGCGGGAGCTGTGGTGGCAAGGGGAAGCATGGAGGCACTCTCCAATGCCGTGTTCCCCGTCACAGCAGGGCACCAGCAGCCATCAAAAGAGACTGCCCACAGCCCAACGGTGTACAAACTGAACAGTGACCGAATGCTGTGACCAAAGGCCTGCTGTACACGTGCCCTGTGCATTATAAAAAGGCAAAGCTTCGGACGTGTGAAAGGCGCTTTCGGGGCTGGTTTGCGACAAGGATGTGGAGATCTCAAAACAGCCCAGAGCGCTGCTCCCAAGCCGAGCTTGCAGGGCTCGTCAGTCTTCGACAAGCCCATGATTTTGGGGGTGGCCGTGACCGCCCTGCCGTTTGCCAGGACGTACCTGCAAAGCCTTTACACAGGAGCTTCCAAGCTTTGGACAAATCCGATCGAAACTTTTGGAGGACTAACTAATGTACTTCACGGCATGTATTAAGCGTCTGTCGCCGTTGTCCAGAATGACTCAAGGATGTAGCTAGGCTTTCAATTTTGTGGCTGCGGGGATTCGTGCTTCTGACTTTGGTATCTGGCTTCGAAGTTCGGCTCTCTCTTGGAAGCCCTTGATCTGCGACCCCCTGAAGGTTCAGAAAACCAACAAAAATCCTGGCGCCTGGAGCGTCCGGGAAGTGCATGAGACAGGGTATGATGGTGAACGACAAAGCGCCTGTAGCGAATCCTATGACATGAGTACCGTCAAGAAACTAGATCATGTAAGTCTACCGATGGGGGCGGTGGATGGGGGCGGTGGTCGGGTGTTTGTTAACAATGCAAACCAGAAGATCTGTCAAGTATGTCCATCATGACTCTTGGGATATATCTGTTGCATTTGTAGCTGCCGATCCCAAGGAAAAACAACTTCAGGCCTGATATGCCTCTGGTTCTGGCACCTACACCCAGAACCTGAAGCCCTGAAACTCCAGAACATCGACACCACGACATGAAAGCTCGAGAAGCCGCAACCGCAATGCATCACAACCTGAGCCCGACAACCTGGCCATCCCGACACAGCGTTCAGAAAGAAATCCGGCCGAGCGCCTGAATCCCAAAGCCGAGCAACCAAAAGCCATCGTTAATCCCTGAACCTCCAAACACATGTAACGCCGTCTCATGCACATTGCGAACTTGCGATGCGCAAGTTGCATGCAGAACTCAGTCTTGATGCCGGACCTTTCGTCTGCAGGAATATCGCGGCATGTCGGGGCTCGCACTTGTGTGTACAGAGCCGATAACGGTTTGGAAGCTGTGAGCCAGGATAATCGGGGACCTCCACCTGCAAGTCTCTCAAGATAACATCCAGAAGCCGAGCTGAAGCCACAACTGCATTTACAGTACTTATGTCAATCTATGCATGCTCGCACGTATGCATGCTTTCTTGCTGCTGTAGGTTCTCCAGTACACAGTCTTTTGCGCAGACATAGACATGTGGACACGTAGGAAGAGTCAAGAGGAAGAAAGGGACCTGAAAATCTGAGCCGCGAAGCCTGGTGAGCTCAGTTCTTGTCGCTGAGGACACTGTGGTGGCTCATGCTGCTCTGGTGGCTGCTGGACCTGTGGAACTCCAGCTCGGGGCAGGGCGTAGGGTCTCACACTGGCGCTCACAGGCCTACCTGCACAAAGATGGAGTCTAGGGAGTTGGGCCAGGCCGGGTCGCCGATCCGTCGTGGATCATACTCCAATACGCAGTGACGAGCAGGCACAGACAAAGTTTTAACAAAACAACACTGCGCAAGGCTGCAACAAACGGTGGCGCTTTGTTGTACTGTCGTGACTTACACGGCTTGTCCGATCCAGAGAAGAACGCCCGTGAATTGGATCCGAAGCTGCGACTGCCCAAACCAAAATCTGGCAGCCGAAGGACGTGCCGACGTTGTCTCCATTCTTCCCGAGCGACTTCTTCAGGGTGTTCTGGATCCTCAGAGAGCTGTCGACGCCCACTGTCGACAATCCGAAACCCCACGGGGTCGAGTCTACCATGCTGTCCGTCTTCGATGCGGGAGCCTCAGAGCGTGCCACGCATACTTGGACACCAAGCAGCAGCCTGAATAGCCTTGCTCTGTCGTCTTGAAAGCGGGCTCCACATGTTGCAAGCTGGTACCGCCCTTCCGGGGTGTTCTCATGATTTCGGGGCATGTGCTTCCTCTGACTGCCCACTCTGAGCTGAGACATCCAAGAACCGGAGAACCATTCCAAGCACAAAGATGCGATGACAAGTGCTCTTTCCGATTCAAGAGATTCGGTCTGCTGATCTAGGCCTTCGAGCGCGGTTTACGCAAACGGTCTAACTGGATACGCTAGCTAGGCTTCTCAAGTGCAAACACCACAGATGCACATTGGACCAATGGAAGATTGCTTCGGCCGAGCATCGTTCGCTGAATCATCCTCGGCTTCTGTGCTGTGCTGGGCTGAGCAAGGGCTTGGTGGCAGCATGCAGCTGTGGGGAGAGATTTTGAGTTCAGCGTTGTCGCATAAGGAGCAGCAAATTCTAACACAACGCTGGGGAACTTCCGAGCCCTTGCGACCAGGTTCAGCACCCAAAGAACCCAAGACCCCAAAGAGCTCTGACCTCCAACACCGCGAGATGAGCCTTGTATGAAAGCTGGCTGCCTTCGAGGGCCCCGGCCCGGAACTCAGGCAAACGACAGAACAGCCGAGGTTCTTCTCCAGGGCATCCTTGTCGTCGTGGTCTTTCTCCGGCCACGGCAGTGTGGGATCCGTGTGACCACCGAAGCGTACAATTTGGTCCTCGCAGAGCCCAGTGCGGAAAAGCTCGTCAAGAACATGCTCGGTGCGCTAACATGTGGATCGAATGGCCCTGGCGCTCAACAGCGAAGGCAGCGGTCAGCTGAGGACGGAGGACACCCTACGTCACGTCCGAACCGAGCTGAAGCCTGCCTTGGAGATGGGATGCTCCAAGGCAGGTTCGAAGACCTTGATGCCCCCAGCAAGTCCGATGTCGCCTGCACCGGCTTCCGAGTAAAGTGGAAAACCCCGAGTCCCCGAAAACTCATGGAAGGGAAGCTTTGCGATGCAGGTGGAAGGGCTGTTGGAACTGCAGGCTCTAGAGTTTCAACATTTATCTTTGTGTTTGTTGCCTCTTTTCCTCCTGCCTATGTGGTTAGTTGGAAAGCCTATTAGACCGAGGCACTGGGCTCGGGAACTCACCCTCGGGATTCGCCAGTCACCACCATACCCCTTAGCACTACCACCACAGAAGTCACCACAGCCGGCCGATCTCAGCAGAGCCACAAAGCATACCACTACACGCAGCAACAGTTAAGCTTTGGAGTTGAAGGTCTTCTGGGTCGGGAGTTTGGAGAATCGGTGCAACAAAGCTCCGCACTATCCGAAAATCGAATGATCCCAAAACCGCCGATTTCACCAGCAAAAACACAATGCCTTCACCGAAATCGACCCGCCGCTCCAGCGACATGGACGTCATGAACCTCTTCCAGCGATGCATGTTGATCCCCTGCGGGCCGGGCAAGCGTCCGCGGTTACGGGGGTTGGGGGCTCTCACGGCTTATCAAACTAATCGAGCACGGGTATGCTTTGTCGCTTGCCTTTGATTTCACGATACAGTGGCCTCTCTTCTGCAGCATCTTCTTCTTATGGGTAGCTCTGGTAGCTCTAAGACGGCGGTGGAAGCCATCATGCCCTAGCCACATCTGCTAGAATCTGCTAGGACCGAGCAGGCGGGGTTGGGGTGTCCTTCAGCGTCTCCATGATGATGAAGCCGCGCTCCAATCTGCAAAAAGGCTTTCGTGGATTCGCTGTTGGGTGGAAACGTGAATTTCGAAGGACCCATCCGCAACTTCAAGCGTACCTTCGTGGCTAGGACACGACACAATGCTGAAAGTGTTAAAGCACAGAAGATAATGGAGCGAAAGCAGTGACACATCTTCAAAAGCATGCACCTGGTCGGCTGAAGTCAGGATAAGGTGTCGGCTTTGGGGCAAGTTCGACACTCGACCCTGTCCATTCGGCCTGGCATGGCCCTGAATGTCCTCCGACAGCGCCATGTAAACTCCACAAAACTGCCTCAGGCAGTTAGCTCAAGCCCAGGGTCTAGGCCCAGACGCTTACTGTGTGGGCGGGGTCGTACACTGACCGAAGAACAGACCCGACTCCCAACGACTTGTCCTCCAGCCACGAGCAGAGAGCCGTGGGACATGGCGTGACATCTTCGGGATGAGAACAAATGGTGCATCTGCTAGATCGTCGCCGATAGATTATCGGGCTCGCCGCTCTGTTGGGACAGCAGCTCTTCAGTTAAGGCAAGCGTCGACACCAGCAAGTTGTAGAAGCAGGTGTATACCAGAATGCTGTAAAGTACAATTGCCTGCGCGGAGGGCATCCTACAAAGTTGCCATCAGCCGAATGAAACTAGAGGGCTTCGGGAACACTTCCGGCCCGCAGCCTGGAACCCAGATCCCGAAGCTGCAAAAACACGCTGGATTTTTTGGCAGATTTGGCCCGAACTCCGTGCTGCTCCCTGTCCCTTGAGCCCCTTTAGCCCAAACAAATCCGAAGCAGACTTCGAGCATCTTCACAACAGGTCGGCCAACCGGATCATCCCCGAAACTGCATCACAGACCCTCGGAGCGACCCGTGCGCATGCCGTCGCGGGAAAAAAGCTACTGTGTTAGCAGTGCTCTTGTTGTTCTTGCTGTCAGTTATCCATGTTTGGGGTGGCAACTGCGGCAATGGCAGTGGCAGAGGCAGTGCGGGCGGCAGCAGTGGTGACTGCAGCGCTGGCCGGCGGTGGTGGCAGACATGGTGGTAGCGACAGTGGTAGTGGTAGGACTGCTGGTAGTGGTTGTAGTGGTCGTAGTGGAAGTACTGTACTGGTGGTGGTGGCAGTAGTGGTGCTGGTGGCGGTTGTGGCCGTAGTGACTGTATAGTGGCGGTAGCGGAAGCGGCGGGAGTGGCGGGAGTGGCAGGACTGGCGGGAGTGGCGGGAGTGGCGGGAGTGGCGGGAGTGGCGGGAGTGGCGGGAGTGGCCGGAGTGGCCGGAGGTGGGAGTGGTGGGAGTGGTGGGAGTGGTGGGAGTGGTGGGAGTGGTGGGAGTGGTGGGAGTGGTGGGAGTGGTGGGTGGTAGTCGCGGTAGTAGTAGTAGTAGTAGTCGTCGTCGTCGTCGTCGTAGTAGTAGTAGTAGTAGTCGTAGTAGTAGTCGTAGTAGTAGAAGTAGTAGCAGTAGTAGTAGTAGTAGTAGTACTAGTACCAGTACCAGTACTAGTACTAGTACTGGTACTGGTACTAGTACCAGTACCAGTACCAGTACCAGTACCAGTACTAGTACCAGTACCAGTACCAGTACCAGTGCGAGCACTAGCACTAGTACTAGTACTAGCACTGGTACTGGTACGAGTACTAGTAGTAGCAGCAGCAGCAGCAGTAGCAGTAGCAGTAGCAGTAGCATTCATTCACCACGCAGCGAAGTATCCGGATTCGCCTAGCGAGCTGACGATAGCCCGGTATTCGGGGTATCGGAACCTCTGTTGGGTTCTGGAGGGCAGTGCCAGCTCCATCCACTAAGACTACACTTGCTCAGCATCAGGCACCCTTTGGAAGTACCTGACGTAGCCACACTATATATATGTTGCCATCATGTTCTGTGCCAACTGACTTTGCTGTGCAGGAGTCATCAGTGATCCACCATTTTTCTGCACCAAACAGCGGCTGTCCTCGTAGTATAGTTCTGTAATGCCCCATATCAGGAGTGGCCCCGTAGTGAAGCTGTACAGCGACGACCTGGTAGTGAACATATCGAACTTGCATAGTGTGCAGCCCTGCAAAGAGTGGCATACGAACTGTAGTCGAGGCCATAGCCAGTGGTCTGGTGTCCCTGCGCATGACTCCCTCGGCATTCGTGAATCGCTGAAGTTGTATGCAGAGCATTGGAGACGGGGTCAGCAGTGCATAACGGGCTGTGACCTGAGCACTCCACCCATCAATGGCTGCCTGAAGCTCCAAGCTTGGACCTGCCGGTAGCACAATCGAAATTGGAGCTTGGGTAGGCCCCGTATCAAGAGTAGCATATCAGGTGAGGGAAGTCGCTGACCTGGAGCCTTCTCGATGCCGTCATGGTCCTCCATGGGAACAGCCTGAGCGGTGCAGGGATCACGTGTGATGGTCCACCACGAAAGCAAGGGTATCTGCCATGAATGCATCAGGTCTGATGTAACAACATGCTCGGCACAACCTTTGTTGATCCATCCCAAAGGGCTGCTTGGCACGAGTTGACAGGTCAGCTTACAGGAAGAGACGGCAGAGGGTTGGCGACTGCCTTGCGCGCTCTTGTCAGCACCCACTCTGCAGAAAGGCTTCTCCAACATGCATCGCAGTATCGAGCTACAGGAGAGGTCGAATGTTGATAGTAATCGACCATCCTGGGATCTGTCCCGATGCCTTGGCTTTGGCCGTGACCGTAGGGTTTGCCTTGGCCGGGGCCGCCGCAGAGGGTAGCACAGGTCGTGATGGCGTAGACACTGCAGTCGGCATGGTGGCTGTCGTCGGCACAAGGCCTGGTAGGCCAGCAGGGGCTGTAGGTGCTGGAGCAGCAGCCTTCGTCATGGTGGGCCAGTAGAGGCTGGAGAAGCTGGAACCACTGCTGCCAATGCATGTACTGGTGCAGGAGGAGACAGCAAAGCCGCAGGAGCTCCCGGCAGGGAGAAGGCAGGAACCGGCGGTGGTGGGCCGGCAGGCCTTGGTCCGGACTCACGTCGGCTCGGGTGGTTGACCGGAATCGGAGGCGGTGGACCAGCAGGCACTGAGGTATGCTTCGCCATCGTGATTGCCCTCGTGGTCTCTCCCGAGTCAGAATCCGGCGAAGGTGGGGACGTTGGTGAACTGCTCGACGACTTCGGACATGGCCCGGCTTTGGCTGCCCGAGCGCTTCTGGATCTTGCAGCCGCCTTAGCGGCACTTCCCCGGCGTGCCTTCGCCTTGGCCTCCTTAGGCGACATCCCGAACAGCTGACGTTTCTACCTCGATCCTGCTGAAGGCTGCGAATCGGCAAAGTGCTGTGAGTAGGCCACTGAGCTGCAGCAGGTGCACATGCATGAGTGACTGATGCACACAAAGAAGTGTCACTGGCACTCTCAGGACCGAGCCAGCTGAGGGTAGGGATGCTCGGCCAGTAAACGCGGTCAAGGGTAGGACCGACGATGGCTACTATGAGCCCGACTAGGCAGAGGGTATAGGCCATCATGCAGCCTACAGCCTTGTTCTGTTGCTGGCCCGGAATCCTTCTAGCAGGTCTGGTACAGTTAGGTGGCAGAGGCTCAGCGTTTCCAAAGTCACACATTCTCTCTAGTCTGAGCCAAGGGGCTTAGTAGCAGTAGCAGTAGCAGTAGCAGTAGCAGTAGCAGTAGCAGTAGCAGTAGCAGTAGTAGTAGTAGTAGTAGTAGCAGTTGTAGTAGTAGTAGTAGTAGTAGTACCGCATCCCCCGGAAATGCTGTGTTTTACAGCACTTTTTTCCACAGTTATCGAAAGTGGCAACTGTTCCTGGTTTTCGTGTGCATCTTTATCAAGTGTTCTAACATTGATCATCAATTTCGCACCTCAAAATGCTGGTATTTGCGAAGTTTATGATTTTTAGCTGTTTTTTGAAGTCTCGATTTTCGTGCCCAAAACCTAGCGATCAGAATGAAGGTTTTTTATGGCATAATTTTGATCATGATGTTCATCCAAATCGTTGGAAAAGAGAGCATCCATGTCCAAAGCCTAATGACGTCCATGGTCTAGCGCATTTTGGTTTGGAGACCATCCATGTCCAAAACCTAATGACGTCCATGGTCTAGCGCATTGAGGTTTGGAGAGCTTCCATGTCCAAAACCTAATGACGTCCATGGTCTAGCGCATTGAGGTTTGGAGAGCTTCCATGTCCAAATACTAGTGACGTCCATGGTCTAGCGGATTTTGGCTTGGAGAGCATCCATGTCCAAAACCTAATGGCGTCCATGGTCTAGCGCATTTTGGTTTGGAGAGCATCCATGTCCAAAACCTAATGACGTCCATGGTCTAGCGCATTGAGGTTTGGAGAGCATCCGTGTCCAAAACCTCATGACGTCCATGGTCTAGCGCATTGAGGTTTGGAGAGCGTCCATGTCCAAAACCTAATGGCGTCCATGGTCTAGCGCATTTTGGTTTGGAGAGCTTCCATGTCCAAAACCTAATGAAGTCCATGGTCTAGCTCATTGAGGTTTGGAGAGCATCCATGTCCAAAACCTAATGACGTCCATGGTCTAGCGCATTTTGGTTTGGAGACCATCCATGTCCAAAACCTAATGACGTCCATGGTCGAGCGGATTTTGGTTTGGAGAGCATCCATGTCCAAAACCTAATGACGTCCGTGGTCTAGCGCATTTTGGTTTGGAGAGCATTTATGTCCAAAACCTAATGACGTCCATGGTCTAGCTCATTGAGGTTTGGAGAGCTTCCATGTCCAAAACCTAATGGCGTCCATGGTCTAGCGCATTTTGGTTTGGAGAGCATCCATGTCCAAAACCTAATGACGTCCATGGTCTAGCGGATTTTGGTTTGGAGAGCATCCAGGTCCAAAACCTAATGCCGTCCGTGGTCTAGCGCATTTTGGTTCGGAGAGCATCCATGTCCAAAACCTAATGACGTCCATGGTCTAGCGCATTTTGGTTTGGAGAGCATCCATGTCCAAAACCTAATGACGTCCATGTCCAAAACCTTTCGAAATCCATGGTCTAGCGCATTTTGGTTTGGAGAGCATCCATGTTCAAAATCTTTCGAAATGTTGCTTCTTTGCATCGCACCGAGCGGGGATGGTACTTTCCACTGCCAAGTAGTAGTAGTAGTAGTAGTAGTAGTAGTAGTAGTAGTAGTAGTAGTAGTAGTAGTAGTAGTAGTAGTAGGAGTAGTAGTAATGGTAGTACTAGTAGTTGCAGCAGCAGCAGTAGCAGTAGTACCACAGAGGTGGTAGTGGTAGTCACAGTCGCTGTCGTCGTCGCGGTCGTCGTCGTCGTAGTGGTGGTAAAAGACCTCATGCAGCATGGCTAGTCTTGCAGATCCTTTACACCCTGAGCCTCCAAAGTCTCGTTGAAATCCGAAGTACCACCACACACTCTTGTAACTGCATTCAAGCGGCCGTGAAAAGTAAGCTACTTTGCTGCGCAATCGTCTTCATCTGTTCCTCGGTGCAACAGTTATGAAGCAGCAAGCTCTCAAAGCTAGAATGCCTTCTTGAGGCTCCGTCAGGAACCACCCCGCCCCAGCTAGCGACCCACCGCTGCCATGTACTGACCTTCTGTGCCACTGAGCTCTGCAGACTGACTCACAAAACTAGCGAGGTTGGCTCCTTTGCTTGTTTTTGCAGCTCCATGATCCGGTCTCTCGAAATACCCCGGAAACCGAAAGATAAGTATACCCTAGCCAGGCCCTGTCGGAATTTGCTTCAAGCGGCCATGCTCGTCAATCCCCAGGCAATCTGAATCAGCAGTTGCGCGATGTTGCCTATGGTAGAGAACTCCTGAAAAAGGACAAACAGTATCACATCCCGAGATTTAAAAGGCTGTGAGGCTTCGATGTCTTGGTGTGGGGTGTATTCGTGCGGTGCTTAGCGGCAAGGGGGGCCTGTCTAGCCAAAAGCTCGGGCAGTCCTCCAAGCCGACAAGGTCTACCTGAAACAGGGGAGGTGGGCATTGAACACTCGAGACAGTCTTCAGTGTGCAGTACAGGTGTATCCTCTGCCTCTCTGGACATCGCCGCGATGGCGAAGGTGAAGATGAAGATGCAGGCGATCACAGCACCAAGGCAAAGGAAAACCTGTCATGTCGATCTGGTGAGAAGCTTCCTGGGGTCAGTTTCGCGTTCTCCTACCAGCAACTAGCGTGATTTTTCCTTAACTAATGAAGCGAATGGAAGAGAGTCAAGTAGGAAGAGTCTCCACACAATACGTCAGCCATGTACCCGCACTTCGGGACTTTAGAGGAATCAAGCAGCACTCGCACGGTCCTCCTCCTATCTCACAAACATCCGTCAGCTTTGGGCGCCTGCCCCACCGCGCGTGCACACAGCACCTTATACTCGGACATCTTGATAGAGACGGTGGCCAGATCCAGGACCAGCAAGGAAAACCTCTGGGAATCTGGGGCGGACTTCGGGACAAGCACCTGTTTCGGGGCACCCAGGGTGCAGTGCCGTGCAAAAGTCCGTCCGAGCCGCAAGAAGACCCCAAAGCTGGAAAGGACCTCGTAAGCAATCCTGAGCTGATTTGTTGTTCATTCTGTTTTTGAAGAGCTGGGCTCGGGTGCCGTGCGCTGTGTCGGGGTGGAGTGCAGGAAACGCTTGTCTCAGTGCTGGGCTTTGTCTGGTGAACGACCTTCGATGAAACTGTGACTTATTCAACAGGCATTTCTGGCTGTGCCAAGTCTGGTTGCTCCATGGCCGGTGTAACGGCCGCGCAGTGGAGCTCGATCATGTCCTCTTCAGTGGCAACCGAAGCTAGGGTGAAAGGTCGATTTCAGGGCTCAGACTGCATTGGGAGTTTCGGAGGCGGCTATTGTCTGGGACCATTTTGTCACTTGGCATGCTCAAAGCATCTGAGCCGGAATCACGGTAATCCACCAAGTGCCAAGTGCGGTAGGCTCAACCCGAACCGGAAAGCTACCAAAGCTCCAACCCCAGCAACGCCAAGCCGAAAACATGCCGAAGCATTGCACCTCCTCGGTTCCAAAGCAATGGCACACAGGCTCCACCTTAGAGACAGGATCGCAAACAGCACATGCCCTAGAGTCTCTGATTGCACATGTCCTGTTCTACCGCGGTGATAGCGTTTTCCGCTCAAGGCTTTAGTGGCTCTGTCCAGCAGCCAGGACTGAAAAGACTGCCATTGGCCGCAACGGAATTGTCATTCTCGGGCACGTCTTGTCAAGTCTAGAGGCTGCCAACATTAGAAAGAGGTTGGCCGTGAGGAGCAGGGAGAGCTGTTGATCCCACTGCGCGAGGTAGCCTGGGCATACATGTCCGCTGTGCGCCGTAGCCCGAAGAGCAATACCTTTGTGCCGAGAAACTGGGAACGCGCAGCCACCGCATCACCATGTAATCCTGCGGCATGTGCTTCACATTTTCAGAAGCACTTTCAACAAGCAGCAACAATGGTGATAATAACCGGAACCATAGTCTTGAGACCTAAAGCGCCCCAAACTGCTCGGGCCAGCTGTAGCAGGGACATGGCCCTGCAGACTGGATCCATATAAGCTGGGACGGGTTTCCTTCTTTGCACTGCCATGAACCGAGACTCTCACATGAACCTAAAACACAACCGTTGTAGGAGCGTCGGACGAGCCCCAAGGACCCCGCAACGAAAGCCTTGTGCACGAAGGCGCGGTAGATTTGGGTCCCGTGCCTCATTGAGGCATCGAGGCACGAGAGTGCAGAGCCAAAGGCCGGCATGGCCATGGCCATACTGGGCCATATACTGAGCCGTACTGAGGCCCCAAGCCCAAGCCTTTGACTCCACTCAAATACGACCCTGCAACAGCACCGACTTGAGCAGCCAGAGCCGACAAAGAATACGCAAGGAAGAGCAACCGACAATGCCACTACCTGCCCACACTCGGTTTCAAACTCCGTCTCTGGTCAAAACCACAAGACATCCGCCACAGATCACCAAGGCCTCGAAAGCACCCCCAAATCCCTGGCAAGCAGCCAGAAGAGGAGTCGGCCGAGGCCGATCAAGTAGACCATCAGCCGGGCGATCCCCACAAAGAGGTGGAGCCTTGGCCAACAGCAGCACATAGGGCACACTTGAGACTAGCGCCCACTTTGGCCCGCTTTAGCTCTTGGGGCTCTTGAAAGCTATGCTCTCAGCTCTGGGCTCGTGGTTCTCCAAGTAGACCTTCTGGTTCAAAACGCCTCAGACGGCTCTCAGACTGCTCTCAGCTACCACGGCCACTTGCTGTGCACACCTCTGCTCTTCCAAAGCAAGCCTAGGATCCGCACTCATGCACTCACTCGTTCTCCCGATCAAGCACTCGCTCAATCTCAAACGAACTCATCATCGTCATCGTCGTCATGCCTTCACACTCTTCTATGGCCAGCAGCTCTGTGCAACGATGTAGATGACGAAGGTTACCAGGGTCCAGAGACGGTCCAGTAGGAAATACCTCATCACCTTGAGGACGGGGATTCAGGAAAGCGTGCGGACTGAAAGGGAAACTTGATGCACGATCGTGTACACTTGCGGACCTGAACCCTTCGTTGCTGCCATGCATATCAGAACCATGAGAAGGGTAAGAAACTTCCCGCACCTTGCAGTGCCTTGCAGCCCGGCCACCAGCTTTTCCCAAATGAGGTCCAGCGTGAAAACCAGGATGGGGTGCGTGATCGTCCGGGGATCCCGAAACACGACGAAGGACTTCAGCGACCGAGAAAGCATCCTGAGAAGAGCGTTCAGGCCGGTGTTTGAGACCGTTGTCATCTTCGCTACCTCCGGCGACCCTCCATAGCACCAGGAATGCTTCCTCCGAACAGCTGCGTCTTCCGACTGTCGCCTAAACTCACCAGCCCTGACTGCAAAGCCAAGCATCTGAGACTCGTCCTGATCCTGCAAGAGGTGCTCCAAATAGTAGATAACCGGGCGAAGCCCATCCTCCACATTCAAGGCGTGAGTTTCACGACGTGGGGTACCAGCACCCATCATTGGAGAAACCGAAGCTGCAAGTTCCGAATACCCTGATGCGGTGAAGGCAGCCACCTTCCAAGCCCCTGCACCCGACGAAGTCAGCGCCTCTGAACCAAGGCCTGGGCCAAGGCCTCAACCCTCAAAGGTCTGTCCTGGGTCTTGTGAGATCGCCAAATGAGGCCGTCTAGAAAGTCCTGGTGAGCGAAGGGGCGAAGGGGCGGGGGGGGGCGGCACCTTGGAGAGCCCAGCGAAAGCTTACCCGTTACAGTTGCGCCCAGCTGACAGTTTGGCGACCGACGAACTCCTGACCTGCTACTGGCATTTAAAAAACAAGAGTAGCCGGTCGTGCGCGAGGACCGGCGCTTCACGCAGCAGGTTGTCGACGATGTCGGGCTGAAGCCTTTAAAAGTGTACGGAAAGGATTGGGCCAGACTCAGAGTTCTCAAGGGTTCCGGGTGTGAGGAGCCCCAGAAAGTGCATGAAGCCCCAAAAAATGACAAGCGATGATGAAGAAAATATGCGGCGGAACTCAGCTTCCGAGCCTAAAAAGCTCGTCCGCCCCGTAGTAGTATCGGTCCCGGTCCTTGGAAGCTCTCGCGAGCAGTATTTGTTCGAGGCTTCTGCACACCAACAGAAGTCACTGGTACCTGCAGCAGCTTGTGAAAGGCCTTACCCCGAAGCAGCTTTCGCATCTCTGCCAGAGTTTGGAAATCAGGGTTCGGCAAGTCTAAGTACGATCCTGGACACCTGAACCCACGACATAGTTAGAAGAAGCTCTCTGAGCCTCGCTGCCCTGCTGAAGCGAACCTTGAGCCTGGCGGGAGTCTGCGCGGATAGTCAGGATGTCTTGCACGATGGTCTTCGCTGCACCGTGGCAACCACTCCTGCAAAGACTTCGAGTCTTTCTGCCAATGCCAGACCAAAGCTTCAACAACGAAACCCCACCAGCCTCAAACGCTCGAATCTTAGGCTCTGCCGCCCGCCTCAGCGCCCAGTAGAGTGGACTGATGGACTGGCTGCCCACGCGGACCCGCAGCTGCCAGTTCACGCGCTGGGCCTCTCGGATGTGCGCAGAAGACTCAAGATCACCCCTCGTTCCTCGCTTTTCTGTGCCATGTCACGCGAGGGGCATCTCGGAGCGCCCGCCGAAGCAGCTTGGAGTTGTCGGCATGAATGGCCTGCCTCAAGAACGTATCGAGTTGAGGCTATCCAGGTACCCACGCATGTGGACAGGGTCACACCCGAAGCCTACAAAACCTGCATGTACAGACTCGGAGCACTACAGGACTGCCCTAGATCACACCGCCGCCTAAACTACGCCATTGCAGCAGGCTGCATTACGGCCGTGGAGCCCTCCGTGATTGTTCGCATCAAAATCCGCGCCACGAGCCCTGGTAGTCCCGGGTTCAGAGGCTTGAAAGGTGTGGTGGGGGCGTATGGGATCGTTCTGAAAGCGCGGGAGCAGATGGGAAGAGTTAGGCAGAATGCTTTGAGGGCTCATGAGATGGCCAGGGCCGGGGAGCCGATCGACCAGCGGAAGCCCTCGATCATCATGTGTTGCTGCAGCTCACATTCCTCAGATCTCAGCCGCACCTTTCACTCAATTTTTTGTCCTATGCAAGGACCATGGAGAGGAAGATCCCCAGGCTATGCACAATTCTGGAAGTCCGGGCACTGGCAAGTAGTGAGCTCTGTCCGCTGGGCAGAGCATGTCCTTCTTCGAGGTGACCTTGTCAGAGCTTGAATCCGTGGGCCAAGGCAGGGTGGAGAGAGCTCAGACTGAATGCCCGACCAGGGTAGAAACTTGAGGGCTCAAGACTTCAGGCTCGTAAGTGCTTTGGATTGGGTCGGAGACCGGAGTAAACAGACACCCACAGTCCCATCATGGCTTTTGCTTTGTGTCTACCACATGATTACATGCAGACCCCTCTGAACCAAGAGTCTAGCACTCGACCGCTGTTAGAAAGTGCACGTTCTAGGATGCACGCACTGTTCGGCAGCTCCAGAACGATGGGCTTGATGACTTCGACACAGGTGTCCGTGAAGGGTCCAAACAGGTCGATCGGCACCCCATATCCTGCGCAGGGCCCACTGGCCACGAAGGAAATTCAAGCGCGGGGACCGCCCATGCCTACGTGGCGCAGGCCCAGCGCAGAGAGGTCGTCCACCATCTCGCTGGTGTCCCCTCCGGGTGCATTGAGCTGCCGTCGGGAACACCCTCGATTCCGAAACCCGGAAACCCGAAACAAAACCCGATCGCTTTCGATTCCGAAACCCGCGGGTTCGGGCTGGTAGAAAACAAATTCGTGACTGAAGTACAAGCAGACTCGAGATATATGAACCCAAAGTCAGCGTCTGCAGATTGTAGACTCTAGACTCTCGCTCACTGCTGTTGAGGATCGTTGCATCATATCGTATGCCGCCGCCATGACCCTGTCCGCGATGTAGCGGAGCCTCGTCTGAGACCTGGGATTTCGCTGCTCATGAACGGTTTTACAGTTTATGGGGGGTATTGGGGGGTTATTTGGTGCACACTTCAGGTCCGGACAACTTGAACGAAGGCTTGGACCTCTGGATTTGAGAATTGGAGATTGGGGAAGGTCGGAACATCTGAACGAAGCCCCGAAAACATCTGCAACTGCAGTTCGTGCCAGGGATCTGCTTGAAGAGGTCTTGGCTGGCGACGCACTTGGCGAAGAACTTTGTGTACACCGTCGTGCGAAAGGTTTCCTTGTGCCTGGACATGTCAGAGCTTCTCAGGTCAGCAGGCACAAACCTGCACCAAAACGCTGCAAAACACAAAGGACGAAGAACGTGGTTTGTCTGTCTGAGATTTGGGCCCGGTGGCCTTGGCACTTGAGCTGTAGCAGGTATCGCGTTGGCAGTCTAGGTCTGGGCTCCAGGATGCTCCAGGTATGAAAGCCAAACGGGGAATACTTGAAGTCACCATCCTGCCGCCACAGAGTCGAAACAAGACAACTTCTACTGCATCCCAGGCACTCGTCCGTCATTGCGGCATACAGCTTCCCGTTGTACGGCTTGAATGCACGCACCTCGTCGTGCCGGGTTCTAATTCATGGTCTGGCAGCGACACTGCATATCGAGACGCAGCGGAGTCTTAAGATGAAGGATGAAGCTGAAGCGCTGCACCACGCACAGGCAGAAAAACGTTACGCTTCAGACACCACTGACACAAAAACAAGATCCACAAAAGCATCAGATTTGATCTAGCTCTTCCACCCTCCATGCCAAAAGTAATGTATTCCGAACATCTCAATCTGCCTTCATCGTGGACTCCGTCAGGTTCCTGGAGATAGTGGCCCAGAGCCATTCCCAGGCTTCCTCGTGCGCCGTGCTCCACGTTTGCCTTGATCCACAGGCAGTGCTTGCTCCCTCTTGCCTCCTGCTCCAGTTCAACCAAATAGTAGAGTCTACATCCGACTATCCCGATCTCCGAGCTGGATCGTCACCTACACACCTACACCTACGACAAACTTCAGCCGGGGACGGAAGCAGAGATCGCAAGGCCGCGAGCATGACAGGTTTGAACCTCTCGAACTTGATCTCCTCGAGAGAAGACTTGCAGAGCCCCAATGCTTCGATCGTTTTGGGTCATAGGGTGGTCCTGTTTTTGCCCGCACACTCCTGCAACTAAGTTATCGCGCTTCCAAAGCCAAACTTCAAAGTCGGCCTAAGCCCCTACAAGTATCATGGGAATCGACATCATGCCACTTAAACTCTTGTGTGAGAGTGCTGGGACTCCGGCCCACGGGCCTCCGATCGCGCCACCATCGCCAGCGAAAGTAGGTCACACTCCTCGACGAGGTGGGACGGATTCCCCACCCGCTCCACAAGCACCTGTCACATGGTGGCTTCTGAAGTCGCTTCGAGTTCTGGTGACTGTTGCAAAGGTCTTGCGGTCTGCTGGGACTGACAGTCTGGAGTCGGTCAGACCAGATCATGCTTTTTTCGACAGGGACGGACATCCGAGGGCGTCATACTGGCGTCATAAGGGTGCAGGACTGGCGGTGTTTGCCGTCCAGCTTTGAACGTGCAGGAGGTCAACATTAAGGCCGAGGGCTTCCAAACTGCTACTGTAATGCTATAACTTTCCCTCCCCGAGATACTCGGAAGCCCAAGTCCCAAACTCGACCCGTTCGTTCACACATCCTCTCTTTCCGCCCAGGGCGCGCTGAAAACTGCCAGGAGCTCTTCCATCCAACCTACCGGGAGCCACCAGGTCCGGTTCTGAAGGGCATGGAAAGCGTGGGCCAAGGACAGCATTCTGAGAGGACAAGTCTAAGTCTCCAAAGACTGCGGTCTGGAACTCTTCGCCTTCGGTCGGCTGGCCCATCACTTCGTTGGAGAAGGCACACATCTTGGGAAAGCTCCGCACCACCTGCACGAACGGACGGGTAGAGCTCGTCAGAGTTCGGTCGCAGATGGCGCTTGTAACGGGAAACAACATCGGAACCCTGCCTCGCTCTCCTCATCTTCAGCATTTGCAGCATTCTGGATGTTGTCCCAGTCAGTCTGGCCGCGAGAGCAAAGACATCACACACTCACACATGTAGAACAGTACAAATGATTGCACAGGTCAGCAATCCCAGAAGAAGCTGCACAAATGAGGGCAAAACTTCAGCTTCACCCCACGTTATACTGCAACACAGGCCAAGGGAACAACGTGGAGACACAGCTAACACGCGCTGCCATGCAACGGAGCCAGAAGCTTTTCGGCTCACCCTCCAGCCACCAAATCTACACCGTCGACAAAGAGTAAACACAACAAAGAGGACGCTCGCTGCAGAACCAAAGCTTCACTGACCCGCACTCTCGGCTTCCGTCTGAACGCTCGAGGACTGAACTCGATCCTTCAAACTCGAAGTCAATGTGTAAAACACTTATGGGCGTTAGGCCGGGCCCGAGCTAAACAGAGTGTGGAAGCTCTCAGAAATCACATCATCACGCGGCCTGAATCACGGACAAGCGCTTGCCATAGGTTTGCTTCACGTATCGAAAAGCGCTCCCAACATACCTCAAGTTTGTGGCATGGACAGCTGCAAAGTGGAGAGCTGGAGACTGGCTTCAGGGAAACTGGCTTCGACTATCAGTGACGTTGTAGCTGCAGAACTGTAAACGCTAGAAGGTCTTCTCACCTCTGTCGACTGAGTCCTTGTGACCCCAGGCCAAAGCACAGACAGCTGAGGTTTCCGGAGAGAGACAGAGCCAATCGCGGACCCCCAGCGAGATCTAGAGCTCCCTGCGGCTCCCTGCAGCTCGGCGGCATCAGGATCTGTCGCCACACTGCGCCGGCGCCTTGTGGCAACTCCTGCACGGAGTGGAATCTTGGCTAGAGCGCACAGTCCTTGCAAATGACGTACTGAACCACTGCTTGATGACCTGTAGCGACTACAGTAATTAGTATAAGAAGTATCTGTCGATTGCAACTGCTTCCAGTCTGCCTCCAAGAACCGTTTCACTTCTGAGGCAAAGCTGCAGAGGGCTTGAGTCATCTGTGCTGTACAGCTGCTGACTTTCAAAGGACCGGATCACACAGCGACAAGAACGAGAAGAACCGCCCGTCTTCGTTGTGTCCTCATGCTTCCCAGCCCTCCACGGCAGCCTCTTCTGCCGGCTCGTGCCGGTTTGTTGCAGCAATTCTCGTGTCCATATCTCTACAGTTGCAAGTAGCAGGTCAGTAGGACCCAACGGAGCTGTCTCGTCACCAGATTTGTCGCGGTGCTTCCCTGCTAGTGCCTCGCAGTGATCCCGCTCATGAGTGCCGTCACACCACACAAGTGGACAACCGATATATACTGATGTAACACTGCAGGCAAAAATATCCCAAATCGTCAAACAAGTGTCATTTTGGCAAGTGTTCCGAGCAACAAATGCAGCATTCACAATTTGCAAAGCCGCCCGGGTGGAGTTTCTAGCTGTGCAGACAGGAGCATCCTGCAATGCACACCGGAGGCAAAATCAGGGGCATACCTTTTTCTACTTGCTGTGTGAAATAACAAACTTCAGAACTGTACACAACTCGTGAACCTCATGGCTAACTGAACCAACAGCGACCAAACAACAGCAGAGACATACCATAGTACAAAAAGGCCGTGGCATGCCACGAGCGTGCAAATACGAGCAGCTACCCCGACATACCATATCCAGTGCACAACCGACACCCACGGACCCAGTTCAATGGCCTCGGTCACGTTCTGCGTTAGCACCTCTAGAAACGTGTCCTGGGTTCCAGACAGGGCATGGCCTTCGGACTTTGCACGCTGCCGAAAACTCTTTGGAAAGACAAGAAGTACCCAGCACGCCCACATCCCACCACACGGCAACTAGTAGCAATAGTGGTACTTGACGGACGATGCCATGCCGGGTGTTCACTCTTGGCCTTGCGTTGTCAGGACTTGCAGGCTTGGGATGTCTGAACTTTTGGCCCAGCAGCGGCAACCAGGCCGGCACGAACCTGCGTCACTTCGTACGATAGATGCCTGGGCAGCGGTACGATTCAATGCTTTCGGAACACGGACGCTGAAATCCCTGAAATCCAGGAGTGCCTTCAATCCGACTTGCGGTTGCTGTCTGATCCATGAAAAGACTCTATACGATCTTCCAGTCTCGTCTCGAAAAAATCTGGGATGTAGACTTACGAAGCCCACAGCATCAAGCGGTATGGAGTAGTCAAGGTTAGCTTCTCTTTCGATTAGAAGGCACAAGGCGACTCTGGGTTAGGGCTTCAGCAGCCATAGCCAGAGAGGCTGTTCCACGCCCTTCTTCCGAGACGTCAAATCCAACCCGTGGTGCAGCCGAGGCGCTTGAAGGCTAAGGTCTCCTATGCTTTCAGGGGCTGTCTGAGCATCTGGAGACGAGGATCAAACCGAGAGCCTGGAAAGTCCAAGGCACAGTGAAGCTCAGCAGCGCGGCCGGGTCATCTGCCTTCTCCACCACCACTCGAAATCCGTTGAAAAGCCGCAGAGACATCACCGCTCGAGGCGTGATGAACTGATCCTGGAAAGCTCGGGGTGCAACGCAATTCCTGGCATCCCAAATTCCGACCAACGTGAAGGATACCAGGTGCCACCGCTTCTGTCAACATGTCGCAGCTTTGAACCCTCAAGGGCCCAAACTTCCCCCGAAACTCCTGAAGTCTGAAACCGCAAGACATGAAAGCAGCAGATTCTCGCCTTCAGCACGGCTAAGGAGCCGGTGAGCCCCACGTACCTGAAATCGGGGGTCGCGATTTCATGGTGATGTCTCCAACTCGCGACCGAGGCACAGGACGTCGCCCAGCTGTTCTCGATCGTGGCCGACGGCATCCCTCGGCTCCACACTTGACACTTTCCTGGCCCTGGCAGTTTGCGTATTTGCCAGGGTTTGCACGTCCACAAACAATGCCACGGAACATCTGCCATGCGTCGCGGCAACTGTGGATTTTTGTGTCGTGTGATCCAAATTCCACGTGAGCTCATGTTAGCTCCAATGTCCCCGCGCACAATGCTCGCAGCAAGGTAGAATGAATCTCGATCTTCCCGAACACGGCTACAGTGCTCGACCAGGAGCCAAGTTGCATCAGCTGCTGCCAGGAAGACCGCAGGATCTGAACGTCATGGCTCGGCCTGAGCGACAACTCCAACCACCCTGATCAGCCTGAATCCTGAGCCCGCACAACTCTCCTTCAGCCCAGATCTCCAGTAAACTCAACCATACGTCAAAGGAAGTATACTCTGCAGTAAAGCACGATACTCCCAAGTCCGAAAGCCTCCATGTCTCGACACAAGCGGCAATGTCAGCTGCTCCATCTTCTCCCCGAACGCATCCTCATTCTCGTCGTTCCCCGGGGTGGTGTTGGAAAAGCCTCGTTCTTTGAAGAGCAGATGTGCAACTCTTTGCAAACAAAAAGTAATTTGCACAGCTGCGCAAACATTCCCAATAGGACAGCATGACATGGCTCGGCAACACCAGCTCACACATAAGGTAATTAGACGGGTAAACCCCGGCAACTGCCTGGCAACCCAATCCGCTAACCCCAAACCTAAACCTCGAGACGAGACAAAAGCCCAAGATCTCAGGTTTCAATCTGCACTCTCATGACCCGGCGCTCCCAAGGCTTAAGTGCAAGGAACCATCAGCATCGGAACTGGCGCTCAACTGCTCGGTCTTTTCACAGAACACTGTGTCCTCGTCAGGGTTCGCGACTTCAGGCTCCGACCTCCTGTCTGTTTGGATCTATAGGGTGCATTTCCGGCGGAAACGAGCCACTCTTGAAAGCTGCAAGTTTCACACAAAATGAAACAATGCACGACACGAACCAAAGTTACTGAAAACGACATGTTACAGCACATGTTGTCGACCCGAATAGACAAAAGGCGATGCACGAAGCTCACCGCACACCATCCGCCCCTTGCTAGCGAACCAAGCGCATGATCAAACGGGATGTTATCCACGCTATAAACCCATTCTCAATACAAGCACAAACTCTCAGCTTCAGAACATGCAGCGCTCGACGCCTGTCCTACGATGCTACACAGACACAACTAACGAGTTTAGCAGGATGTGAGCAAACGCTTCACACACAGGTGCGGCGTTCAGACTGAAAGGACACAGGCGTTGACACGTCCACAGTGCAGCGTCCTGCTCCACCCGTTCTTCTATGGCGCTTTCTTCCATTGCAAAGCTTGGCTTGAGCAATGGGCAAATCAAAAACTTCAATAATTCGAACTAAGCCAATTCGAGCCAGTTGGGCAGGTGACGGATCATGCCACAAAAATCAAAAGATATAAAACATGATCCAAAAAAAACTTGTAGTTTGCAACGGAGCCACAGAAAAACCAAAGGCTAAAGCAGTTCGACGAGCAGGGACACCCACTTCTGACGCTGAGGCTTGCTCATCATACGCAATGAGATCCCAAGAATCTGAGCACAAAAACTAATCTTGTCCTTGTTGCCAGACATGCTGGAATCCACTAACTCCTGCATGTAGCCGAGCATGGCCTCTGCAATAGCTTGCTGCGCAAAAGGCAGGGCGTCAACCGCATGGTTCATCACAAGGAGCATGGCGTCGTCAGCTACACGACCATCCGATTTTCGGCAGTGCCGGAGGTTGTTGCCAACAATGCTCTGAACGTGGCGTTCAGCAAAATGGGTTTTTCTCGTGGACGCCAGGGCTGTACACCACCACCGACCTGAGAATGAAGCAGATGTGGCTATGTCTCTGCATGCACTGCGAGCAAGAGGGATGTGATGGCTGCATGTGGCCGTGATTTTTTGAGAAACACTCCTTGTCGGCACGCAAGGCACGGGACACTTCACTGACGAATTCCGAGCCAACGGCGTTAAAAGGGAGAGAAACAAGTGAAAATTCGGGTTGGGCCGCTCTGTTTGCAGCTCGTGGGGTTGCTCAGCTATACAGGCCAGAGGCGTATTGCCGTGGTGGCAACTTATTGCCTGCTGGCTCCATCGGCAACTCTCCTGGCTGGCTGAGCTCGGTCCCAGCCTTAAAAGTCCCACAAGCTATCAGAACCCAAAAAGCGGCCCGCCCCTATAGCAAGCTTGCGCCGTGAGCCTATACTGGAGATGTGTTTGAATTTTTTGAAAGATATCTGAAAAAGCTCCGCCCGAAGGCCAAATCTAAGCATTCCGGCAAACGTCACAGCCACAAGCTTCCTAGCTCACGCATCGCGACGCCTTGCGTGCCTCTGCAAAACTGGGACGACTATCAGCCCCGCGACTCCTACCCCTTCAAAACCCCGGACGCAAGCATGTAGTGTCCTAGAGCCCCGATCCAATTTCAGAGTTCCTGCCTATTTCAGGCATGTCAATACCCTAAACCCAAAAACCCTAAACCCTAAACGGACCATGTGTTAGGCAGCCCGTTGGGATTCTGCAAGGATCTTGAGCTATACGCATCTCAGGATCCAGGTGTCCACCTGAGCTTTCCCAGATCACCTGACACGCTGACGGGCAACAGCGACGGTCGGCCCTATATAAACCCTAAACCCCGACTTAGGGCTTAGGGCTTTTTTGACGGACATGTTCGGGCGAGTCGCGCGCGTCAAATTCGCTTGCAAGAGCGAGCCACCAAGGCGATGAAAATGCCCCAGGGCCTAAAGAGCCTCAAAGCGGCTACAAAAGTTTAAGAGGCACAAGGATTCAGCGTGGACCACCAAGGCCTTGGGCCAAAGGTGTCCATGGCTGGTCTCCAGCCTGCCACTTTGGTAAGCGGAGCTGGTGTCTGCCAAATATCCGCCTCCCGATAGACTCGCGAGCACACTGCACTCCGTGCAAGGTGTGCGGCTAACCTATCGCTTGTCCAGTACTCCCGTTGGCATTTCTCACAACGGGTCCCTACCGCAAGGCATCTTGCGGGGGCATGCTCGCCATGCCGCTTAGCAGCATGTACTGCGAGGCGACGTCTGGTAAGGAAGCACTGGCTGCAAGCGGCACACTTGAAGGGTAAGGCAGCCCCAGTGGCCGAGATGAGTTCGAGGTCCGGCTCCCCTGACTGGCGGCGCCGCACTTCCTGCCAGTCTACTGGGGGCCGCGAGGTCACTGCTCGGGTGAGGTATGACTTGCAGGCAAGCTGGACAGCTCGCCGGTTCGCAGTGGCAAATCCAGCCAGAACCTCAAGCTGAACCGTCTCAGCTTCGGGAGCGAATCCAGGCCAGGAACTGGCTGCCGGGACAACGACACGGAGGGAATCCAAAGCAGCATTGATCCAGACAGAGTCCTGGAGAAAACCCTGCCAAGTGGCATGAAGGTCGGGGCTCAAGACATCCAACAGTGCCCTGACTCTTTCGACGTGCAAGAGCTCGGCAGGAGCACGGAGCTCAAGTGCGCTGAGGACCTCATCCTGTGTCAGGCGCTCGGAAGAGCAGTTGAGAAAGGGCCGGATGCATTGCCTGTAAACGCCCAAAAGAGGGGTCTCGGCGGCATTTTTCTCAGCAGCTGTGGCGAGGCGCCAAAGCCCGCTGCCGTGCAAGAAACGCGGCGCCAGTCTGCCAAGCACAATGTAACGCTTCTCGAAAAGGGTCAACCACGGGTTGGCGAGCACGCGATGTTTCAGTGGCTTGAAAGCCGCCCAAAGCAGTGTACTGCGGTGGCGCAGGTTGGGCAGCTCATGCAAGTCAGCATTGAGCTGAGTACCCAGATGGGAGTAATGCTGTACCAGGCGGAGGTCTTGAGAACCCTCCGATGTCTGCACGGTGAGGGTGGGCTCCTCAGAAGTGAGAAGCTCCCGGCGCACCTGCCGCGAGCCACCTCCTCTGACGGCAATAACAGCTTCTGTTTTGCCCCTGCCAAGGTTCGCCCTCAGTCCACTCCTGGCCAGTCTAGTAATAGCGAAGGAGCCGATGCGCTGCAGAACAACCGGGACGTCGGCCGGGGAGTCGGCTGTGAACAAGATGACGACGTCATCTGCCCAGGTCGGAGTAGACGTGCCGGCATCTTTTGCAGAGGCGGAGTCCCAAGCGATCCGGGCACTGGCAACACAATCAAGCTCACGCAACTGTTGCTCAACGGCATGCAGATACCTGGTGAAAAGGACAGCGAAGAGCACGTCCGCCACAGGGCTGCCGGGGGCCGTACCTGTGTGTGAACGGTAGACCTGTGTGCCAGGCACCCCATCCAGAAACCAGGAGTGACGCAGTTGTGCCCTGTGCCCGGACCACACGCAGTACAGGTGGAGGAATGTTAAGGGACTCGAGCCACCTGCCCTGCTGCATCTCCTGCACGAAGAAGAGGCGGTCCTCCGCGTCAGCAAACAGGAATGCTGCTCGCTCCTGTAGCTCAGCCTCGCTCAGCCCGTGGCCTGACCCGGCGAAGTAGAGGTCACGTACAACCGCATAGTAAGCGGCGGCGGAGTCAAGGAATACCGCCCCACCGCAGCAGTTATTGCTCTTGAGGAGGCACAGATGGCTCCTAACAAGTGCGGAAGGTTGGGCGAGGGTATGTTTGGGCAACCCTCCGTGAAGTCCCAACGGCCGGCAAGCTTCCAGGACAGCAATCAGGGAGGGGCGCCATGACTTCTGGTAGGCTTTAGCCTCCGTTTCGAGGAGCAGTATGGAACGCCAGGACGTGGCCTCATTCGGGTTCTTCTGGCCTTTCGGTATGGAGAAGGCCACACCGCCCGACCATTGGACCGGGTAGGTGCCGCGGGCAGCAATCTTGAGTGCCACAGGAGCCAGGAGGCAAGCTGACCGCAGCGGGTTGGCGTGCTGCAGGCCGGTCGGCTTTACCTGCCGAGCTAAGATCCGCGAAGCCCGCGACCAGATCGGTCAGGCTAGGCCCAGACTGGAAGTCCACTAGGCCTGGCAGGTCGCAGACCTGCGCACCGCTGGCGACAAGAGCCTCAGCTGTAGGGCTGTGCGCGCTCTTGCCGTGCAAAATGCTCCCCGAGAGCGCGAGTCGAAGCGGCGTAGCCAATGGCCGTGCCCTGCTCTGTCCGAAGCGCCGGCAGGAGCTTTGGCGCCTTGAACTTGCGCCCCTGCCGAGTGACCGCCCTTATCATATGCGCAAATTGCGCTGGGCCCGCGGCTCGTGAATCCTGAACCTGTCGGCGTATGAATTCGGCCTTGTCACGTTGTGTAGCTGTGCGCTGGGCCTTGGCAGTGGCGCAAACAGCTGCGCTGCAGCGAAGCTTCCCATCATCCAGGGCGCGGAAGCGACGCACAAAAACCGGATCAGCTGCGCCCCTCCGCCAGGCGGCAAAAAGGCAGTGCAAGGCAGCCTTGCGGTGGCTGCGGGAAACGGCCTTGAGAACTTGTCTCGCATGCCGATGCTCCCCAATGCGGTCCAAGGTGGCCGTGCAGAGGGCCGGATGGCGTGCCTTGCGCGGCGCAGGCGGGAGCCAGCGTGTGAGAACCTGCCTGAGATGTCCATGGATGAGGGAGACATGCGTTGCGGCATCAAATTCCCACGGAATCGGAGGAACGGAGTCCAACGCGAATTCCGCAATTGCTCGACCAGCAGGAGAGAGATCAGCGCCTCCCTGCTGTAACGTGGCTGTGCGGCCTTCTCTTGACTCTCGCAATGCACCTTGAGGCGGACGGCCACGTGGAAGTGGTCCACCCCTGCGTGCATGTCACGGAAGGCTGGAGTGGCCAAAGTGGCGGCACAAGGAGCCCAATCAGCAGGGAAAGCAACATAGTCGAGGAGAGCTGGCTTCCCTGATGGGGACATTCAGGAGACTAGGCGGTTGCCATTCTCAGCTTGAAACCCCAAGAGAGAACTCTCCAAGGAACTGGCGTAACGCAGTAAGTAGCATTGCAGCAGAGAGGAGCCGCGTCAAGTGTGGCCGGTTCCTGAAGAGACGCCTCGAACCGGGCATTTGCGTCCAGAAAAACAAGCGGAACGCAGCCGCGGGGAAGACGGCGGAGGCCGCTATGCAAAAGTTGCCACCAAGCCTCTCTCTCAGCCTGCGGCTTTGCAGCGTATGGTGCGTGGCCCGAGACAAGGCCAAAGCGGAGGGAACCCGCAGTAGCCATCACAACCAAGAGCTGAGGGTGCTCAAAGACGATTGTAAAAGAGTCTCGGTTCCATCCCATGGGCACTTGCCCGCCACGCAAGAACTTCAGCCCCTTGCTGAGCCAAATTTGGCATCCGCCAATGCCAGTGGAAGTGGCGGCCGAACTCAAGACCCAAAAGGAGTCCGTGCAGGAAATGCCAGTTGTCTGGCAGCGTGTCTCCTGAAGTCCCGCCACTGCAATCTCGTGTTCCCGGAGGCTGGCATCCATCAAGGGGCGGGCAGCAAAGTTCCCCAGAGAGAGGCAGTTGTACTGAGCCAGAGCTAGGTCCAAGACCAAGTCCTGCTCCGGGCTCTCGTCTCCCGGCCGGAAGTAGGCTGGATCAGCAGCCGAAACTGGCTGGAAGAGGCAGGAGGCCATGCTCCAGGTGCCGGAGGGGCTGAGCGGAGGAAAAGAAGGCGAACGGGAAGCCACGGCCGTCAGCCAAATCCAATCGCACACACCCTCAGCAGCTCCGGTCCATAGCACCTCAGCATCCAATAGGAAATCAGAGGGCAGTAGCAAACGAGCTCCTGCCTTGGCAACTGCATCCGCCAGCTCATTGAAAGCACAACCCTCGTGGGCACGAACCGGCATAGCCTGGACCGACTGGCCGGAAGTGAGCGAGAAGAGTGCAAGGCCAACCGCTGCTCGTGCTGGCAGGCACTCCGACGAAAAGATTGCCTGGCCCATAGCAACTTGGCGTGCGGCATCACAGTCGCTGGCGAAGACCGCTGGCACACTGCGCAAATGAACAGCAAAAGCCCAGGCATGGGCAAGAGCGATGAGTTCTCCATCAGAGGCTGAGGTCGCCCCGTCACATGCACCACCGACAAGCCCGATCCGAACAACATGATCCTTGCAAAGCCCGATCATGACAAGGGCCCAGCCTCCACGGCCAGAGGACTGATGGAAAGAACCATCGGTGAAGCAATAGAAAGCCTGGAGGGGGGTGCACCGGTCCCATTCCTCTAGGCTAAGCGACCGGAAGGAGGTCAGGCAAGGCAGGAAGCTGAGCTGGAAAGGCGGTCGGATCGTGCTGCGAAACTAGAAAATCCACCACGTCAGGCGAAATGCCAAATGCAGCCCCGGGCTCAGGCGGGGGCACTGCCTCAGAAAGGCAAACTGTAGCAGGAGCGGTCGGCGCCTGGGTGAGGCGCCCGGCCAGAGGGAAGTCCTTTAGCTCAGGCTGCTCGGAATTCGGAATGGCCAGACACGCCTGGCAACCTGCGTCTGCCAAAAGGAGTGGGCACGAGACTGGCAGCAAGTGACTTGACACTGGTTTTGCACAGTATGGCACGCGTCTGCAGCAGAGAAACCGACCCGACCCCGCCCCCGTCGTCAGGTTCCTCAGCCTCAGGTGGTGTCTCCCATCAGAGACCGACTCGAGGGGCACAAAGCGCATGAGTGGTGTCAAAGGCAGGGAACTAAAGGGTGGCCTCGTCC